TTACAACTAATTAACCTGGGGGCAAAAGACATGAACAGAAGTTTTCTAGAAGATGGACAAATGGCCAACAAACATATGAAAAAATGCTCAACATCACCAGTCATCAAATTAAATGCATTTAAATGCAAATTAAAAGTACAATGAGATACCTACAACCTTACCCCTATCAGAATGCCATTATGAAAAGGTAAAAAAATGTGTGCTGGCATGGATGCAGAGAGAAAGGAACACTGTTGGTGGTACTGCAAATTAGTACAACCTCTATGGAAAACAGTATGGAGATTCCTCAAAGAAATAAATGTAGGCCTACCATTTGGTCCACCAATCCCATTGCTAGGTATCTACCCAAAGGAAAAGAAGTTATAAAAAAGATAACCTGTGCTCAAACGTTTGCCGCAGCACAAACCATAATTACAAAGATGTGGAATCAACCTAAATGCCCATCAATTCACGAGTAAAGAAAATGTGGGGTGTGTGTGTGTGTGTATATGTGTGTGTGTGTGTGTACATATATATATGTACACACACACATCATGGAGTAGCACTCAGCTAAAAAAAGGAACGAAATAATGTCATTTGCAGCAACTTGGATGGAACTGGAGACCATTATCTTAAGTAACTCAGGAATTGAAAACCAAACACCATATGTTCTCACTAATAAGTGGAAGCTAAACAATGGGCATACACGTGCACAAAGAGATATAAAGGATATTGAAAACCAAGAAGAGGGGAGAGTGGAAGGGTTTTGAGGGCTAAAAACTTACCTTCTGAGTATAATGAACACTATTCTGGTGATGGGCATACCAAAAACCCTGACTTAAGCATTACACAAGGTATCCATTTAACAAAAACATTTGTACTCCCTTAATATTCCGAAATAAAGAAAAAAATAAGCTGGGGAGATGATTTTCCATCCCTGTGCCTCACTTTCTTTACCTGTAAAATGGGAATAAATAAAAAACACCTACTTGTTTGGTTGTTAGGGAAGTAATGAAGGTAATCCAGGTAACATTGCTTAGAACAGTATTTGGTAAAAGCTCAGTGTTTTATATTCGCCCCCCCACACACACACACACATTTTTCAGATGAGAAAACCTCAGTATAGAAGGGTTAGTTGACTTGACCATGGTCAACAGCTACTTAGTGACAGAGCTTCAAATGAAGCCCTTTAGGCAGAGCGCAGTGGCTCACGCCTGTAATCCTAGCACTCTGGGAGGCCGAGGCGGGCGGATTGCTTGAGGTCAGGAGTTTAAAACCAGCCTGAGCAAGAGCAAGACCGTCGCTACTATAAATAGAAAGAAACTAATTGGCCAACTAATATATATAGAAAAAATTAGCCGGGCATGGTGGCGCATGCCTGTAGTCCCAGCTACTTGGGAGGCTGAGGCAGCAGGATTGCTTGAGCCCAGGAGTTAGAGGTTGCTGTGAGCTAGGCTGACGACATGGCACTCACTCTAGCCTGGGCATCAAAGCCAGACTCTGTCTCAAAAAAAAAAAAAAAAAAAAAGAAGAAAGAAAAAAAAAAAAAAAACACCAAATGAAGTCCTTTATATGAATCCCCAGGCCTCCTTAGCCCTTTTGTCTTTATATCCTCATGGGACTTGGAGTCAGAGACAAGATCCGCCTACTAGTGTGACCTAAGCCTCAGTGGAGTCTCAAGCTTCCCTTTATAAAAATAACAGTATCTACCTTCATAAGAATGTGAAGATTCAAAGTAATAATGTACATACAATGTTTAGCACCAGGCCTGGCAGCAAGTGCTCAATGTTAGCTGTTTCTATTACACCCTTTCTCTTGCTACCCACTTCTCAACCCTTGCAACTTATTTCTGCCTTCACTATTCAGCTGAGTCACCAATATTGCCAGGTCCAAAAAGCATACTCAGTCTCAACCCTATGTGACTAACCAGCAGTATTTAAGACTCTTGGTAGACACACTTTTCCCTTAGTTTCCATGCCACTTACTTTCCTGGTTGTTTTACTGGTTCCAGAGAACTCCTCAGTTCTGCCAGTCTTAAATGTTTTTCCTAGGCTCTTTCTATCCTCCTTTAGACCAGGGTTTGTCAATTTGAGCACTACTGACATTTTGGGCTGGATAATTCTGTGTTGTAGGGCTGTCCTGTGCATTTAGGCTGTTAGCACATACCTACTAGATGCCAGTAGCATTACCCACACCCACTTCCCAAGTTGTAACAACCAAAAAAAGTCTCCAGACATCTCCAATGTCCAATGGGGGACAAAACTGCCCCCAGTAGAGACCATTCAGATTTATTTCTTGGGCATGGTCACCTACCCTTTTGGCTTCAATTACCATCTTAAAGCTAATGACTCCTATTCCACACCAGAGCTCTCTCCTGAAATGCAAACCCACACTAAGAGCAGCTGCCCTGGCATTTCCTCTTAAAAGTTTCTCAGGTACCTCAAACTCCACCTGTCCTAAAGGGAACCTTCTCCTTCTCTCGGCAAGCTCATCCTCCCCCTTTGCTCATGTAAATGAATGGCATCAACACCAAAGGTGGGACTCTTTAATTCTACCTTCTCTACCTCACATACCAGTTAATCATTAACATCAGTTTCATTAAATATCTTTTAAAATATCTCTTGAATGAGTCCACTTCTCTCCATACCCACTGCACCTTTGTCCAAGATCATCATCTCAACGGCCTGTGTCCCTGCCTCCAGTCTCACTCCCCTCCAATCATTCTCTCCCTACTTCCTTCTTTGCATTGAAAGTTCTCAGCCATAATGAATATCCTTCAGTTTTTACAAAACATGCAGCTCTCTCACAACTCTGGGCCTTTGTACAGGCTATTCTCTCTCCTTGGAATATCTTCTTCACTACTGCACCACCTACCCCAAATCCCCCCCCAAAACTGAGGTGAACAATTAAATCTTAATTCCTCTTAAGAAAAAAAATCACCTTACCTTGTAAGCATTACTACCCCACTCCCACTAAGGCTTTATCAGGTGCACCGGCAGCTCTCTTTAGCCCCTCCATCCAAGTATTCATCACACCCTACTGTGATTGCATGTCCATAGTCTTCCCCAGCTGAATTAACTCTGTGGGAACAAGCTTTACCCTGGCTCACCTTTCTATTCCCTATGCCTGGCATAGAGTAGGCCCTCAGGGAGTATTCGCTGAACAAATTTAAGATTTGCTGAATGAACTAACATAATCATTGGCTTGTTCATTTCCCATTTTCATCATAAAAGTGGCTCACTGCCATTCCTGCTCCAGAGCTCCAGTCCGTGGGAGGAGGGAAGAGAGGCATGCATACATAACTGTTTACAGTTTTTATCTCTTTCAACACAAAAACAGCCCTGGGGTTGGGCAGGGCTAGTACTTGCTTCTAATTTTCCCCTCCCACAATTCCCAAATTTCATTCACCTTAACTCTTCTCCCTTTTATTGATGAAGAAATTAAGCCAAGAGAGCATCTTGACCTCTCTTACATTATAAATAAGAAAATGCTGTTCTTTTCTTCCCAGCCAAAGCCTGGCAAACTCCTATCTAACCTTTGAAACCTACCTCAAATATCACTCCCTTAATGAAGTCCTCCCAGAACAGTCAAGGGTTAATTCAGATTTCACATGCTTTATAGCACTTTATACTTATCTCTCATTGTGTTTCATCACATTACATCTGTTTATGTGACAATCTATTGAAACAGACTATAAGCCCCTCTAGGGAAGGGGCAGTATTCACTCAAGCATTTTTATGATATCTACTGTGTACCAGACACAGTGGGTCTTGGAAGGGTGAGGGGAGGTTGTGCACAGCATGAACAGAAAGTGCTGGGGCATAATAAGCAGAATCTAGAATCAGATTGCCTGAGAACGAATTCAGGCCCCAATATGTATTAGCTGTTTTAACTTTAAGCAAGCTATTTAACCCATCTGTGCCTCAGCTTCCTCATGTGTAAAACAAAGACTATAATAGTTACCACCTCATAGCATTGTGTGGCTATTAAATGGTTCATCACTATAAAATGCTTACAACTGTGCTTGGCAAAGGCTCAAGAAATGTTAGGCATTCTCCTAAATGTCTGTTTCCCCACAGGGCCTGACAAACACTAAGGGGCTCAAATCACTGAGAAGAATTCAGTCTATAGGAGGAGGAGGGGACATGCAAACAAACACAAGACTTTGAGCGTCCTAACAGTCGTTCCAACCCTAAAATACCATTCACTTCCACGGTTAGAGTGAGAGGAAACAGTCCCTTATTAACTTTTTCTGTGATCTCAGCGCATCTTTTGCTGTCAACTCACACCCAGCTGCAGCCGGGTCTCAACTTCAGCCTGCCCTCCTGTATCTCTCAGAGTCCTCTCCGCGCCCAGACACCACGTCCTACACGAAACCCTTCTCCTAAAACATGCACCCATCTCCTTTCTGTTTATCCTTACAGTGAGAGCGTTAGCCACTTTTCTCTTGCTTTCTCAAATTTTCCCTAGAGATGGGGTAACTGCCCCTATTTTACAGACAAAGAAACTGGAGCTTGCAAAGGAAAAGTACGTCGGACTCAAACCAAAAGCTTGGGCCGGGAGGCCCTGGTGTACTGACCCTAGCGGTGAGGAGGAAACGGAGAAGGAAAGAGCTAGGCGGACTGACGAGTTTGTGACCCCCACACTCCCCTTCTCCCCGCCTCCGCCATTCCGGCCTCTCCCGGGCAACCCACGGAGCCCAGCCCAGACTCCGACGCATTACTGCACAAGGCTCCAGACCACTGCTGCCCTGCCTCGCCCAGGCCAGGCTCGCGTACCTGAGGTCGCTGTGGCCGCCATCTCGCGTCGCCTAGCTGCGCCTAGGCCCCAGCGTCTATTCCAGGCCCTCCTTTGGCCCGCCTCTCCCATTCGAATTCCCCGGTGCCCCGCCCCATCTCCTAGGCTCCACCAATCACGGCTAGCTGCTGCCGGAAGCCCCTGCCTGTGGGTTGCGACTATCCCGCCCTCTAGTGCTAGTCTCCGGGTTCCTCAAGAAAGTTTTCCCGGGCGAGGACGCATGCGCGCACGTTGGCTGCACAGCCAGTAACAGCTGGGAATGCGCTGTGGCGCAAACCACCGGCACTCAGACGTTGGCGATGGTGGCGTTTGTGGCTGCTGCTGAGCGCCGCCCGGCGTCCGGTTCCTTTTACCATCAGGCTTTCAGGTTTGCAGGCGTAGATTTGCATTAAGTGGCGGCTTTTCGCAGGCACTTCATCGATTCATCCAAAAATTCCTCTGCTACTGAATATAATTTGTGCTATTTGGGTGGCAGAAGAAGTGATTATATGAATAAGGGAGACGCTGCCTAGAAATGGTTTTATTCTAAACGATTGGTTGTGATCTTCACTTTCTACAGATTCTTGCCTCAGGAGTCGTTTGGCGCATCTGTGAAGCGGGGGTCGTTTTGTGGATTGTGGGACGTCATTGCCATTTAACGGTGCTGTCGTGTCTGGTCAGTTCTGTAGATCCGGACCACACTGGCTGGACTGTGGACTGGCACGTTACACTCACCTCTTGCTGAGACCACGCCACTGGATATCCCGTTGTGTCGCACATCTGAGCCGGGATGACCAACTCAGATGTTCCTTACTTTATAACTTAGAACTCAGAACGAAGGACAGTGGAGTGAGTGTTGAGAGCATGCTTGGTCTGATAAGTCAACCACGGTTCTGATTCCTAGTCCTTACAGGTTCAACGGTCTGCAAGTAGTTCCTTGTCCTTTCCAGAAGGACAGGGATAGAGCTCCAGGTAGGTAGGGCTGTGGTTTAGAGATTAATGTTCCACCCTATTGGAAAACATATAACAAATCTTAGATCAGTGTTTCTCAAACTTTTTAGCCCTTGGGATTCCATTACAGTCTTAAAAATTGAGGCCTTCAAAGGTCTTTTGTTTATGAGTTTCTATCCATACTTACTATATTGCACCTTAAATTTTAAAAAATTAATGCATTTAAAAATTGCAATAACAAACCCTTGAAGACAAAATAGGTTAGTGATTGCCAGGGGATGGTGAGGAGTTGGGGAATTTGAACTACTTCTAATAGACACAAGTTTCTTTTGGGGGTAATGAAGAGGGGTTCTGGAATGAGACAGTAGTGATGGTTGTGCAACATAGTGAACATGCTAAACATACTAAAAGCCACTGAAGTATACACTTTTAAAGTGGTAGATCTGGGCCCAGGCATGGTGGCTAATGCCTGTAATCCTAGCACTTTGAGAGGCCAAGGTGGGAGGATTGCTTGAGGCCAAGAGTTTGAGACCAGCCTGAGCAATATAGTGAGACCCCCCCCATGTCTACAAAATAACTTTTAAAACATTAGCCAGACGTAGTGGTGCACCAGTAGTTCCAGCTAATCTAGAGGCTGAGAAAGGAGGATCGCTTGAGGTTGCCCACTACATATAACATAACATTTTTTTTTTTTTAGACAGAGTCTGGCTCTGTTGCCCAGGCTAGAGTGCCGTGGCATCAGCCTAGCTCACAGCAACCTCAAACTCCTGGGCTCAAGCAATCCTACTGTCTCAGCCTCCCGAGTAGATGGAACTACAGGCATGTGCCACCATGTATGGCTAATGTTTTCTATATATTTTTAGTTGTCCAGCTAATTTCTTTTCTTTTTTTTTTTTTTTTTTTTTTTTTTAGTAGAGACAAGGTCTCACTCATGCTCAGGCTGGTCTCAAACTCCTGAGCTCAAACGATTCACCTGCCTTGGCCTCCCAAAGTGCTAGGATTACAGGTGTGAGCCTCTGTGCCCGGTCCTGCTTTACATTTTTGCAAATCTAATATCTGGCTTAAGAGAAAAATAACGATTTTCATACCTGCTCCTGCATTCAGTTGTGGTGTCACACATCCAATAGTCTCTTGAAAACACCATATACTTGAGAAAAAATGCAAGGGAAAAAGTCAAGTGACAGTTTTATTATGAACATAGTTTTGACCTTGTAGATCCTCTGAAAGTGCCTCAGGGACTCCCAGAAGTCCCTGGACCACACTTTGAGGACCACTCACTTTGGCAATTGGCAGTTTGGTCTTCCTTACCCTTTAGAAAGGGCTGTTCAGGTTTTCACATTTATTGTCAATTCCCAGATATTTGGTAAAATACCTGCCAGAAATAGTGGAAAGAGCATAGATAAAGTAGCTAGGACTTCTAAGTTTGAATAAATAGTTTAGGTACAGGGTTTTGGTGCCAGGCCACCAGTTACCAAATTTAGCCTCTTTGTGCCTCCATTTCCTTAGATTTTAAAAGGGAATAATGGCTGACTCAACCTCTTAGGGTTGTTTTGAGGATCTGCATCTACCTGGTAGAAATTAGGGTGATTAAACACCTGATATTCAAAGAAAAAGAAACAGTTAATTATTTTAAAACTAACTTTCAAATAGATCTTTAAGAAGCAAAAGAGCAGAGGAGAGTAGAACATAGAGTTTATGCCATAAAAATTATAGAATAGTGGGTGAGGCAGATATTTCTGTTCTTCAAGCCTGGAAGAACAAATGAGGGTCATCTGGGGTGAGAGGCATAGCAACAGTGATGGAGAAGACAATAGAGGACCCAGGGTATCAGGTGGAGAAGAAGGAGTCCTCAGAGAGATAATGGAGCACCATGGGAGCCAGGAAGCCATGCCAGTCTGCCCCATGTGGACACCCTTTTCCTTCAGTTCATATGTTTTTATATAACAGCCATGCTGGCCAGGGCCTGGGCACTACCAAAAGGGACTCAGGTAGGTTCCTTCTCAGCTGGGGAAACAGTCTACAGGCAGCTGTCAATAGAAGGTCCTTTCCTGAAGTCACTGAGATCAGACTTTGGTGGCTGCTGTGCATGGGTTAATTCTGCAGTCCCTAACCCCCAGGCCGCACCAGTACCTACCTGTGGCCTGTTAGGAACTGGGCCGAACAGCAGGAGGTGGGCAGCAGGTGAGTGAGCCAAACCTTCGTGTGTATTTACAGCCACTCCCCATCGCTCCCGTCACCGCATAAGCTCCGCCTCCTGTCAGATCAGCTGCAGCGTTAGATTCTTACAGAAGCAGGAAACCTACAGGTAACTGTGCATGGAGGGATCTAGGCTGCGTGCTCCTTAGGAGAACCTAATGCCTGATGAACTGTGTGGAGCTGAGGCGGTGATGCTAGCGCTGGGGAGCGGCTGCAAATACAGATTCTCATTAGCAGAGAGGTCTGACTGCACAATAAATGCAATGCACTTGACTCATCCTGAAACCATCCCTACCCACCCCCATTTGTGGAAAAATTGTCTTCCATGAAACCAGTCCCTGGTGCCAAAAAGGTTGGGTACTTCTGGGTTAACTGATGTGTTCATTAGAATGGTGAGGCTTGCTCCTCAGAAGAGAGAAAAGTATATTAATTAAAACTGTCAACTAAAGAAAAACTCAGGATTTGAAAAAATTAAAGTTAGTTTTATTCAGAATCTTTCTGAGGATTGCAATCCAGGAGAGTCCTTCTGGGAATTTCTGTTGGACTGCTCTAAAGTAGTGTTTCAGCTGGTGGTGGTGGCCATTCTGCACATGCTCAGAAAGTATATCAAATGTGCCCAAAAGTTACATTAGAGCAAAATCTCATCAAAGTTTGGGTGTGAGAGTATATCTGGTTATAGATTACAGAGGCATAATCACTAATCCTTGTCAGGAAAACAAGTTCTGAGATCATTGACGTTTTCTAAAAATGCAATTATTCCAGCAAGCGATTTGGAAACCTGTGCTTTATCCTGCTTGTCGTCCTCAGGGCATTTCCCCAGTGGATGCACTGTCAGGAACCAGGGGCTTTGTGAAATTCCACAGATGAGGAATTTTCTAAAATTCTGCTGGTAAGCAGAATGAACAATCGTGGTTTCTTACATGTGCTACTTTGTCTCACAAAACAAAACAAAATGAAATCCCTAGCGCAAACATTTTCAAAACATAGTCTGGGGACCTTTGCCTCTGCAAAGTTAGAACTGTTTTCATAATAATACTAAGATGTTATTTGCCTTTTCACTCTTTATTTTCTCATTAGTGTACAGTGGAATTTTCTGAAGGCTACATGGTATGTAACATCACAACAGATTGAATGCAAAACAGGCTAGTCTATGGTTAAAAAAAAGTCAAGAGTGGTTGCCTCTTAGAAATTGGGGGCAGGAAGTGACTGGAAAGGGCTCAGAGGGAGTTTTCTGGGGTGATGATAATGTAATATCCTATATCTTGGTAGGACTTTGGTTTACACAGGTGTATACATTTGTCAAAACTCATATGATAGAAGCATGATATGGTTTTCCACTTGTGCTCCTTCCTATCTTAGTGGTTTTTCAGGAATTTAGGTGGGTTGCTTTGGGGGACAGATGGGAAAGGGAGGGGCAGAGTAGGTAGGGCTCAGGGCATTGTAATCCCACTTCACCCAGAACAGCTCTGCTTTTTTTTTCTCTTTGCATATTGGAATTCCTTGTAAGATTTTGTTTCTAAGAAGTTTGATAATCATGGATTCATAAAAAATGCCCAGGTGTTGACATCAGAAAGACCTGGGTTTAATCCTAACTCTGCTACCTACTGTTTGTGACTTTGGGCAAGTAACAGCATTTAGCTGAGTGCCTGACACATTATAGGTACTTAATAAATATTTGTAATATAACTGAAGAAATGTAACTTTTTTGAGCTCTGGTTTTACGCTAAGTCCAAGAGATCTCATGTTCTTTTCCTTTACCAACATTTGTAGGGTTTGTGGATGAGCTTCCTTTTGATGGCAAAGTGAAGCAGAGAATAGAAAAAAGATTTTTTTGCTCAATTGTTTTGTTCAGTTATTAAATACCGGGGAAAGGGCAGGAGTGTAAATTTGTTGGTGGGGGCAACAGTGGTCTCTGACATCTGCCCTGTGACTCTCATACCACCCACAAACATATCAACTGCTTTCCATCTTGGCAACTTCATTTGAAAAATGGGAATAAGAATACAACTTTCCAGTAGGATTCTTTTCATCATTTAATGATGTAGTTTTTTTTTTTTTTTTTTTTTTTTTGAGACAGAGTCTCGCTTTGTTGTCCAGGCTAGAGTGAGTGCCGTGGCGTCAGCCTAGCTCACAGCAACCTCAAACTCCTGGCTCGAGCGATCCTTCTGCCTCAGCCTCCCGAGTAGCTGGACTACAGGCATGCGCCACCATGCCCGGCTAATTTTTTTATATACATATCAGTTGGCCATTAATTATTCTATTTATAGTAGAGACGGGTCTCGCTCTTGCTCAGGCTGGTTTGAACTCCTTGACCCTGAGCACATCCGCGCCGCCTCGGCCTCCCAGAGAGCTAGGATTACAGGCGTGAGCCACCACGCCCGGCCTAATGATGTAGTTTTTGAAGGGTACCAGCTCTTTATTGTTCAATAAATGTTAGGTGCCTTTTCCATCTTTCATCTTTTCCTGTTTTCTCTGAAATAACTCACCAAACATGTATGACTGCTAATATAGTCTTCCTTACCTATGTAATTCTTATATGTTCTTTCACATGCCTGATGTTAGTAATTGATTTGTATTTGCTCTCTTTTTCCAGCACATACAAAGCTTAAATTCATGATACTCCAAGGATTGCACTTTCGTTAGCTGCTGGGCTTGAACTTATTGGGCCCAAACTCTTTTCTTTCTTCCTTTCTTTCTTTTTTTTTAAGAGATAGGGTTTTGCTTTGTCACTCCTAGCTGGAGTGCAGTGGTGTGATCTGAGCTTACTGCAGCCTCGAACTCCTGGGCTCAGGTGATCTTCCTGCCTCAGCCTCCCCAATAGCTGG